CGTCCAAACGCGCTTAACTTGAATGCGTTCGAACGTGTTAGTCATTTGAACGCGGCAAAATGAGTTTATTTTCACAGCGGTTTAGCGCGTCAGTTTCTGACGCAGCCAAACGCGTTTCAAACTAACGCATTTATCACCAATTAACGCGATCAAACGCGTTTCAGTTGTAAGAAAACGCATTCAGACACGTTTTTAGTGCAAAAAAACGCGTTTAGCAGTGCGTTTGGTCTAAAAAATGTCTGCCTGGGAGTCGTCTTCTTCGTTTATCATACAAAGGAAGAAGAAATTCTAGTGCTATAATTTTATAACTAAATCTCACATTTAGTTTATATTTAGTATTCTTTTAAAATTATAAAATATAATTTAGTGTTTTCATTTGCATTACTTTAATTTCGTTCTGCACTCTTTCTCCTCATCAACTTTCGTCAATTGAACAAAAGCAGTTCACCGATCATCATCAACAACCATAGTACATTACTATTATTATCATAAAATAAACATTAAAAGACTTAATATTTCATCATTATTGCACGTTAGTTTTTCTGTAAAATATTTTATCGTAATAATAATTTGTTGTTGGTGTGTAAAACCGAACTGAAGGTTATTTTTGTTATAGCAAGTTATAGAGGGCTAACGTGCTACTACACCCCTCTCCAGTTTTTAAGACAGTTTGAAGTACACAAACTATACTCTATGTCGAGCTACTTTTTACAAAAGGGCACAGTCTATTTTTTGAGATACAAAGCTGTCGAATCGCTGTCAATGCATCTTCTGTGTGCATACAGAAATAGATATAAAGCAAGAAACAAAGAAAAGAACAAATTTATTAAATTAACTAGAGAGTACCCTTTTCCACTTCTTAAACGAAAATATACTTCGACGAAAATATAAAATTTCTTCATTTGTTATGTTTTCCAAAGAAAATCGTATGACACAGTGGCGTCATTTTAGACGCAACTTGTATAATAAATTTATTCTATAAATTTGGCATGTAATTAATTCTACATATCTGTTTATCAATTTGTAATTGTATCAATATACAATAATCAATCAATACACAATAAAATTTCTCATCAGCGCACTAAACACTATCTTCGTCATCGATACAATTGACAGTTATTCGACGAACATGTATGTTGTGTGCCAAAATAAGAAAAAAGAAGCAACTGAAGCACTTAAACAACTTAAACTTAAACAACTGAACTTTTGCAACCGTTCGAGCAAAACCTTATCATAATAATCATTTATCATAATAATTCTCATTTATGTTTGATGAGTCGGTTGTCGTTTTTCTCGAATGATTAATACTATGATTATCATTATTTTCATTATGTTGTTGTGTATCATCAATATATATTGATTGAATATGTTGACCTGGTACAAGAGCCAAACCCAAAACACGAAATTCTTCATCACATGGACATCCAATATATTCATTACAATTACCTAAGATAATATTTTGATCACGATCAGTACATAGTAAAATGCCAACGAGTACTCGTCCATCAGTAATAGCTACACGTATCGGTTTGTTGAGCCATTCTTTAATTTGTTTTTTTGCTTGATCAACAGATGTATCTAGTTTTTCTATATGTTCATCTTTCGTTATTGGAACATTATCATCACACCGAATTAACTCACTTTCAGCTATCATGATCTAGAATAACTAAAGAAATGAATAAAAAAATGAAATAAAATTGACCTATTCTACAGTCTATCTAGAATAGTATTTTCTTTTTTACCAAGTACATTTACTAAAATTGATAAAAAAAAATTTTTTTATTTAAATACAAAAAATTCGAACTTTTATATCACACTGATATTTGTTATTTGTATGAGAAAAATAAAGGCGCGACACAAGTAAAAATTTTTGTAAAATAAAAAACAAAAACGAGTTCATCATATAACACATTATAGTCACAAGAATGTGAATAACAGTGAGAAAGAGATCAAAGTAATAACGCTGCAGAATTAAACGATATTTTTGAACAGACATAAAAATACTACAAAACATTTAGTGGCTTGCTATCAGTAGAATAAAGAGTAACTGGGACAAATCAAACTCGACAAAAATCTTCAACATTTTTCCATTACTAAATCTGAAAAGATTAAAATTATTGACAGAAAGTAATAAATAATGATATTGGTAATGAATAGTTAATATTATAGATGAATTCTCTATTGCACTTAAAAATGTTAACAAATTAATAATAAAAACAAACGAACAACATCTAGAACGGATTAGATTCATAAAAAAAAAAGACTTGTATAAGAGAAAATAATTTAAAATCTTATGTATAAGTGAGATTTTTAGATTCTATAGAATTTGCATAATTTATTTCGCTCTTTTCATGCACGCTTTCCTCCTCCTCCTGCTCCTCCTCTTCTTCTTCTTCTTCTTCGTCTTGGTTTTCTACATCTTTTTCTTCAATGCTATTATCCAACAGTGACTGTGTATCCTCAAATTCAACTACTGTTTCATCTATTTCTTGTTCATTATCATTTGATCCCGTTTGTTCAGAACAATACTTTAGACCGGAACAATAAAGTATTACCATTGCAGCTAAAATAAATTATATATTGTCTACGATATTCTTATAAAATCATTTTCATCTTACCTAGTGCTTGAATTTTTTCATCAATATTAGTCACTTTAGATTCGATTTTTCTCTTTTCATTCTCATCTGTTACATTTGCATTATCACGTATTGTTTCATCACGAATTTGACATTGCAAATTAATTTCATGCTGCAACTTTGTTATCTAAAAATCAAATTATTGATCACTTGTAGAAAGTCAATCATTCAACTTCTTCCATGCATTACATCAGAAATAAATCTATTTTATTATTCTAAAAATCAATCATATTCTCACCTCAGAATCGAGTTTTTGTTTTCGTTCATTAACATTTAATTCTGGAAATAATTCGGGACCAAATTCTTTTGCTCTTGCATATAACGTTGTTTCATCAACACATCGCTCATGTAATAAATCTTCAAGGTCTTTAAAATTTGAATTGCTATCTGACAAACATTTCTGAACAAAGAAACAAATGATTCAATTACATAATCGATAACAATCTCCCTCTCTCTCTCTCTCTGTTCACCATAATAATGTCTTTGACATCTGATATCGATATATTTTCTGGTTGATCTAGAAAAAGATTAATGCTAAAATAGATTTTAACAGAATAGAAACAAATCAAGGATGACATACTAATTGAATTTTTCTGTGTTTCTATTATTCTTTGGCCACTATATTTTCGTAACATTGATGTTGATAATGATGGACGTTTTTGTTTTAAATCGAGAAATTTTGTATAGGCTGAATTTGAAAAACTTGCTAGTTTTGATTGTTGTTGTTGTGGTATCATTGATGATAAACTTGAAGATGAACTATTTCTACTATCAGTCAATATGTTCGTGTTGTGTATAAGATTTTGTGATGATGATGGAGATGATATATTATTACTGTTTTCATTATTTTTTAATATAAGCGGCGGTGATGCAGTAGTCGAATTTAATGCTGTATGTTGATCATTTGTTCGTGTAAATTTATTCGTCCACTTATTGTAAACGCGTGATTCAACAGCTGAAAAGTATGCTGCAGCTGTTGTCGAAATTTTTCTTGTTGTATTTGGTGTTCGTGTGGATGCAAGTTCAGAGATATTTTTGTTCTCTAGTGAAAATTCAGTACTATCATCATGTTCATTGGGTGTTATTGTCTTATTATTTACATCTTGTTCATCTATTACAACCATATGTTTGAGATCATCATCCGATACTGTTTTTATTTGTACTTTAGAGGCACTAGAATAATGGATAAAATAATTATCCTGTGACATTTTCTTATATTAAACAATCATTCTTACGTTCGTATCAATGGACATTTTGTTTCGATCATACAGCCAGCTTCACATTTTTTATGAATATTCATTGGACAATTGGCACATTTGCGACCTGCTTTCATCCAAATCTGTAGAGAAAATAATCTAAAGTCATTACATATGAAACATTCAATTTATTATCATTACCTTTCTGTTACAAAAATCGCAAAGAATAGACACAGAAAATGTATGATCTTCAAATGAGTGATCAGTTGCACTAAAATAACAATGAAGCAAATGTCCATTGAAACAATACAATCTTACAAAATCTTACTTTTTCGGCGTTTCATTGCCTATTTTAACATTGATCATTTGACTTGATTGTTCTTCATTTTTTTCTTTTTCTTTTAATTGTTCACTTGAATTATTTAAAATGGTTTCTGGGACTTTGATTTGTTCACGTTTTTGAGTATTATCTAAACTTTCTTCTAATCGTGGATGATGTATAATACTTATTGTTATAAAACCATGAGCTAAATTGTCATCGTAACCTTTATGTCGAACAAATTCTGCACGGTTTTTACTAGAAGTAATAAATATCGGATGAAGTCAAACAATTACAAACGAAAAAAATAATATAAAATACTCAATAGAATAAATTCAAAACTACACATTTAGTGAATTAAACATTTTCATAGCCATTTTATTTGATTATCTCAAGAATTTATTTGATGACATGATTATTTTACAATAGAATATATGCATTAGTGTTTCGTTGAAACAGAAATAATTCATAATTCTGCACCTGCCACCATAAGGGAAACAGAAAAAAAGTTTCCAACAATCTAACGCATTAGTAGATATTAGTTATTGATAAGAGAGCAGTTAACTGATTCTATTTGTTTAAACCATTACCGTCTCTCTCTATATTTATTTTTCTAGAAAAATTGATTATTTTTAAGAATTAATAATTATCTCACCCATCTGAATTGA